ACACTCTCTGCTGATTTCTCCTCCCTGGCTGCAGGCTGATAACAGACAGTTGGGATTGCGGCGAAATTCTCTCTGCAGACCCATTCTCACAGCGTTTATCAACCTTTTTCTTACTCAATATCAAGCCACACTTATTGTTTTTACTTCGGCTGTGACTTTGTGTGTGCTCAGGATGAGTTTGGCTGTGTTTCGCTATGTATCCTAAACAAGGAAACAACACCTCCACGGAGCTCAGCGCGATTCACAACGTCCCGACCAATCAGAGCACACTGTGCTCACAGGGAGGGTGGGGGCTGGAGCTATGGGAGCTACAACGAGCCGTTAAAGGCAGAGAGTGAAATTCAGTGAATACAAGTAGTTTACAGAGATGCTGTATGAGAAACCAATGTGAGTTTGGAAAAATGCACAGTATAAATCTATTTTAGTATACCTCAACAATGGAATTATGATCAGTGGAAATGGCCATGACACCTCTCCTTTAACTATGTCATAGCCCTTATTAGAATCATTAGGTGCACTAAAAGCCGAATCTAGATTGATTTTCTCTCTCCATTCATTCTAGTGAGCCGAGAGCGGGAGCCCGAGGGGCGGGGCTTCAACTGTGCATGCTCTATGAGCGTACATACGAGTACTTCTGATCTGACAGCCAGGCATGACGGGGACATCTGTGACGTATTGCTCTCGAAAATCTCAGGCCATTTTGTCCTCATGCGCCAATGAGCAGCTCTCATAGGAAAGAACGAGACCCCGCCTCCGACGCTGTATCCAGTTCTTATTATACATCCATGATGTAATCGCGACACGCCCAAAAATCGCATCATGTCCGGTGTGAACACACCATTAGAGTGGGTGCTGTTGCCATGGGGTGAAAGGATGAATTACATTTTTCAGATGTATTCAGTTTGACAGCGCTTACCAGACCATAATTAATACATTATCAGACCGAAGCTGCGGGCCGTATTAAATATAACCGCCAAGGGGGTGGACTTTGGACAAGCCCGGTTTACAGTCTATAGTTAGGACCAGGGGTTAAATTGGGCTGGGGCTGTCCAGGGATCAGTCCCAGCACATAGGATGATGCTCTGACTTCATCACCCTCGCACATTTGTTGTTATCAGAAAACGATATGTAAAAACTTTTCTCGTTCTTAATATAGACTATATTTAGGGTCGATAGGGTATTGACTTTATTTTAAAATAGCAGATCTATGTGACCGGCTATAGTTTTTCGTCCTTGGTGAGCACGTGTCTCTGCCTTGGAGCTGCAGAACCCCCGACCCGTCCTGTAACACGGAGCCCGTTTCTTAAACCATGCTAAATGTATGTGTGCATAAAGCTGAGTTATGATCAGTCATAATAACACCGAATGTGGTTATGATCCAATTGTTTACCGTGAGATTTACAGCATACTTTTGGCCATAATCGCGCAGCCCTAAAAATGAACTGAGATTTCCACACATTTTACTCTATTCTAGTATGCAGACCAATACAAAGCACGTACACATTTTTCGCATATGTATTAACAAATGATTATGTAAAGTAATTAAAGTTTAATGTTACTATTAGAACCATTTTACTACTTTTATTTGTATTGTCTCATTTGGTAGCACCAATGAATGCATTTGATACAGATACAGGAGCAGATTATGTGATGTGCGACCACTTCTTCTACTTCTTCTCTTTTCTACTCATAGGCGCAACCTTGTGGCAAAGACTAGCAACAACAACAACATTAATACTGCTTCGAGCACAATGTGAATGTATATGTGAATGACATTAGAAATGATTAGGAACAACATTAAATACAAATTAAAATTGATTGTGGGGTCCCTTATAACATGTTGTACAGAGTGGAAATAAATATTCTGTTCAAATTAACATCAGGGATCTTATTAATGAAACTCCTTCTGAATTAAACCGTCACAGTAGCCTAACTTTACTGTTCCCTAAAAAAACATGTTACTTTATCAGATGAGAGAAAATGTATTAAATTATTAATATGACAAATAAAAAGCAGTTCAAGAAGGAACAACTATGCATTTACTGATTTTGTATTTAATTTTTGTATTATTATTTAGCTATGTTACTCTTTAGTAAGGAGCAACTTGTTAAACAAATAAATACAATTTTGTCAAAGCATTCATGATTTTCTCTTAATTGAATATAGTATTATTCTGTTGTTGCATGTCATTACATTTGGTGAACAGCACATAATTACTTGTTAAAGACTCGGTTTTCAAAGTTTAGACTTGGGCTTGCCCATCCTGACTTGGGACTTGACTCGGGACTTGAGCGCAAAGACTTGAGACTTACTGGTGACTTGCAAAACAGGACTTGGTCCCACCTCTGCTGTTCATACAACATATATGGCTGCAATATCTTGCCAAGCACTGATTATGAGTACTCTAATAGTTGCACTGTGCCTAAAGTATTACAGAGGATGGATAAAAGTCAGAATTCAGGATTTGTTTTTTAATTTAGGAAAATTGAATAAAATTCCTTTAAATTCAGTCTTGTTTTTTATTCAAATGTAAGCTCTCACATAGACACATATTACGGCAGAGTTTATTACAATGGTGTGTTGTGTAGCTTATACTTAGAGTACACATTACCCAAAATGCTAAAAGCCTGTAGATAAAAATGCAATCCACCACAATAGTTCTGAAATAAAACATGGGCATTAAATTGATAATGGGCTTTAAATTGATAGAGAAAACAGCCTTATCATTAAATCAGTGTCTTTAGACATGGTGTTGGACGAAGTAGCCTTTTAACATGCTGATAGATTTATTTTAAAATGTTGTTAATTTTAGAAATTAATGTATTTGGTAATACCGGGGGGAAATTACTCACCTATCATCTATTTCTGCGATTGCTGGTCAGTCTATATAAGCAGAAGCATTATTTGGCTTGTAAATCTATAAACCATTTGAACACTTTTAAACACTCACCAAATATGTTCATTCTGCCATTATTGGTTTGGCTGGAGATGTGAGTGCTTCTCTGTTGAGATGGACCACACACATTACATCATCCTCTCCTGCAGCATCTAATCATGTCCCTAACTCTTGGTCTTTTGAAATGTACTCCTATACTATTAATTTAAAGATTTTTCTTATAATTTTGTCCTTAGGAGCATCTCTTTGAAATTGAAGCTTCATGGATACGGCCCCTGATGTAAAATGACTCGTAGTCCATGAGAACGATAAAATGAAGGTCACAGTCACAGACAGGGAAGTTAGGAAACTGTCACATCCCCGTAGAAAAATTCTCCCAGCATGAACCAGGTTAACAGACTTATGATAATAGTATGTGGTGTTTTAATATTTCACTTAATAACAATTGAATGCAGTTAGACAGAAAGTGATGTTGTGTACTGCACAATTTGTCAAGATATTCCGATCATGCAACAAAAAAAAAGCTTGATGAAATCATGTTGTGTCTTTTTGTTTCCTATAAATATACTGTACAACAACAGACTTTCTCTCCATTAAGAACGTTTGGTGACAAGTCTGCAAATATTTGGTCCAAATATAAGTAAAGATTTAGTATGGAAACAGGGGGATTGAGAGATGATCCGCTTTATATAATGGTCAAAGAGCTGCATAATATGAAACATTCACATGCTGCCACTCCAATTTTTATTTATGTTTGTATTTATCCGTTTATTTGACAGAGACCGTGCACATTAATAGTCATTGCTGAAAATGTGCCAGGGTTAGCCCAATAGGCGATAAGAGTTTTTATTAAATACATTTGCACATTTTTATGTGAAAATATATACTTTTTAAGGTCTCAATACTTTTATATGTTATTTATGTCACTTAGTTTTTCTTAAATTGCTGCCATAATTGTACTCTTTATTTTTATTTATTACTAATTTATGCTTTTCTCTTTTATTATTGCAAGCGTTTTACCTATATGCCGAGTCTGCTGTAGCACAGTAAATGTCTTCACTGTAGGACTAATAAAGGAGTTATGATTCTGATTGTCGCCTTGTCCTTAATGTGATAATATATAATAGGATTGAGTGTGGTAGTGTTGTAAGCAGAGCAGCAGATGGAGCTGCTGTGTAAAGACGATCTGAGGACAGGCAGCTTTCACCTTTTGGAATGAAACTCATTCCCAACATCTCTCTTTCTCTCTCTCAACCTCAAACTCACATCTACTTTATTCATATATTTAACTAAATAGTGGTAATAATGAAATTATATTTGTTTTAAAGTAATCCATGTACTGATGCAAGACCCTGTGCTAGTGTGGCTGGTGTGTGAGCTTTGTCTTTGTACCGTATTGCTGTATTATTTATCTGCCTTGAAAAACATGTAATACAATTACATTAAAAAAAAAAGTAGAATCCATCAAGCATTTAAAAAGCGCATATAATAAGATTACAATTGGAAACCGATATGCTGTGTTCTTTGGTTGTTCTGCACTGACTCTTTTTCCATGTAAGCATATTATAATCCTTTATGTATTTAGAGCCAACATGATGCCCGTAAACTCAGTTTCCTGTTCGGACCTATCCATGACGCAAATGCCAATTGCCAAGTGTTGGGGAAAACTCTTCAAACATATTTGAATATGCATACCCTCACCCCTTGGTGTTTTTTTGATCGTAAATCATAATTTGACTTTCATTATTTTAAACGTTGGGGGAAGATCCCTGAGTTTTGACCAGAGTCTTTAATTCATTATTACATTGTTGTCTAATACTATGTGGGACTGTTACCACGCTATTACATATTTGTACATGTAAATAGTAATTGTAACGGAGCGCAGTTTTATATCCACCCTCCTGACCCTGGTGGTCATGAAGCCCAGTGTTTCCGGTCTGCTGATCAGCCTGTGTCCTCGTGCTGCTGGTTTGAGTGTTTGAAGGCAGGTTTGACAGGGACCCGCATACAAAGGAAGAGTGACGTCAGCAGCGGGGGGGCACTTAGCAGCCTCTCTCTCTCCTCCTGCCGCTGGCTGTTCATCTCAGGTGAGACTCCACTCTGCAGCTCTCTCACATCCACAGCTCTCACTTTGACATCGGGAAGGATTTTTGAAGTTACCCACCCATCACTGTCTTTCCAGGAAGACTTGACATCCGTTCTGTTGCCTTGCTCTTTTCGGGACTAACACCATGGGGAGATTAGATGCGGTTCGGCAGTTTAATTTGCTCAGCTGGCTCAGAGAGGAGAGAAGATCGAGGAAACTGAGCCTCTTCATCGTGTTCGTCGCTCTGCTGCTGGACAACATGCTGCTGACTGTAGTCGGTAGGTGCGCTCCTGTTTTCTCACCTGTGAAATCCCTGCGCAGTTTGATTCTATTGCAACAGGTAGCCCAGTTTACAAAGTCTGTTCAAATATGCTTAATTTATTTTCGGAGTGTTTGGCCCCAGTCTGGAGAGGAGCGCGTAAACTGTGCCAAGTGCGCACCGGATTATAAGCGTGCCACATGAGAAACCATGTAATGGTCAGTTTGAAATGTCTGAAATAAAGTGCAAGTTGCAGGTCAGCCAAATATAATATGGATGATGATTTTTTTTGAATATTTTTTACATCTTTCAATTATAATCAACGCGCTTGCTCGCCCTCCATTTAAAGGCTGTAAAATGATCAGATTTGAGCTCAGTCTAACCTCTCCATCTGAGGCTCAGGTGCAGAACCCGATAGCCTTCTGTACCTAAAGTAAACTATGCAAGAGCAGCTGAAAAATACTTTTGATAAGGTAAACCTAGTTATCGTGATCATTTGCAGCAAAATGTGATGCTCATTCTTTATCTTTTTACAAAACTCACCGCCGTGAGCTGAGGTCACGGCGTCTCCAAAATGAGAAATGGAATTGTGTCCCCTCCAAGCTAACAGCATATAAAACCCTGGACTGTTGCAACCTGCTCAGCTGTGGCTCTGCCTCCCTGCCGAAGTGCCTTTGGGCAACGGCAACCCCAATCTGTGCCAACATGGGTGTGTGAGTGCGTGTGGATGAGCAAGTATGCATGTATGGTAGCCTCCCCGTGTAAGAATGTGTGTGTGTGCGGGTCGTTGTTGTGTTGTAAAGCAGAGACACTGCTGCACGTGAAGGATCAGCCAGGTCACCACAGCCCTGTTCTGGCACCGGTGTGTGTGTGTGTGTGTGTGTGTGTGTGTGTGTGTGTGTGTGTGTGTGTGTGTGTGTGTGTGTGTGTGTGTGTGTGTGTGGTGTGTGTGTGTGTGTGTGTGTGTGTGTGTGTGTGGTGTGTGTGTGTGTGTGTGTGTGTGTGTGTGTCAGGCGTCGCTTTCTTACCAGCATCCATCTCCTACCTTATTGGAACCTACATCTTCGGCACCTTGGCACTCAAGATGGGGAGGTAGGGAGATACATGATCCTTATCTGTTCTCTCGGTATATATTTACTTTTCAGTTTGTTGGTGTTTGAGAGGTTGGCTTTATTGAGGCTTTTATGATACAGGAACATACAGCATTGAGGGACTTATGTATAAATAACATAGTCTTGTGAGAATATATGAATAGCTACATTAAGAACCTTTAAAGACTATGAAATACATTTTAAAAAACTTCCGCCCTTATGTGCAAAACTAACCGGTGGTTCGTACACAATATGTTCCATATGTGTTTCCATATAAGATATTATAACAGTTGAATTTGCTTGAATTGTGGCCTATTGCCTGAAACAAAAGGGAGACTGTTTTATCAAGGTTTCCCGATAAGTCATGATAAGGATTTCCTGTTTCATTATCACCTTATTGGTATTTCCTTCTTTTCAGGAAAATATTACACCACCTCACATTGCCCATTAGAAAGTGTGTGTGTGTGTGTGTGTGTGTGTGTGTGTGTGTGTGTGTGTGTGTGTGTGTGTGTGTGTGTGTGTGTGTGTGTGTGTGTGTGTGTCCTATGTATTACTGAACATCCATCATAAATACTGGTGTGTTGTATTTACAGCAGTAGTGTCATAAGCCATGACACTTGTCAATCAACAAACACCTTTTCATGTCCACTTCAAATGTCCACTTAATTCCAAAAGTAAATATCCAGAGGTATAGAGCTGCACCTATAAAGTCTGTTAGGGTCACAAGATCAACAAACATTTCTAAAGTTCATCCAGGTGTGAAGCACACAGTGACAGCTAGCAGGAGGTGTGAGCAGACTGTATAAACATGAACTTATATGTAAACTGCTAATGAAAGGTTAGGCCCTAGGGTCTGCATTACCACCGTTAAATGTAAAATCCCCAGACACTGCCTGTGGTGACCAGGATTTAGATTGTGTTGTTTATGTTCTTGCTTGTTTTAATGAGCTTTGTGTATTCATTTCATTTGTTCATTTTAAATTCACTTCAATTAATGAGTCTGCGTTGTAAGACTATCAACGATCAGTGACCTGCAATTTAAATGTGGAATAGTAGCAAAATAACCCTGCATTGTTGAATCTCATCTTTCTGTAGCATTGTAAGCTATGATATGTTATTATTATTATTATTATTATTATTATTGCTGTTTGTTGCATCAAAATGCATTAGCATCTGCTATACATCCGGTCCCCTGAAGCTCCGGTGTGTGTTAGTCAAACATTAGCCTCCTGAGCCTCACCCTCCTTTGAGCATATGTATTTAAAAGGAAGAAAACACACAAGCACCAGCTTTGAAATACCTTTAATGAATTCCTAATTTATCTTTGTATGTCACATTTTTTTTATTGATTATTCCATTAAAACATAGTTTTATATTTTTTAATAATTGGTCCTGTGTAAGGCCCCCGGTTGTTATTATATAAATGTTTTGTTTTTGTAAAGACTACATTTACATAGTCAAAAGGTCCTTTTGTTCAGCGTCACAATGCTATTGGGTATTAAATGGGTTTATAGGTCCCGCCCTCTGGCCATACACTCAGACAACTTCCGAATCTTCAAACGAGCAACATCTCTTTGTTTTATTGGACTGGATTTGTCAGATTCAAGTAAGTAAAATGCCTCAAATATATATGTTTATTATAATGTCTAGAACATCTACATATTTAGTTATTGTGGAATACATTCATCACATTTGATTTTGAGCAGCTTATGTCTTTGTTGTAATATTACATACCTGGGTCAGTGTGGTAGTCAAAATAGCATAAGCACCTGTCATGGGCATTGCCCTTCTTATATGTTCACATATGGAAATAAAACACTAATAGAAATATAATGTCTTTGATAATTCACTATAACTAACTTCTAAATGTGTCCTCTGTTAAGATTTTGAATTAAGACCAGAATTGAATACATTTATACATTATTTCTGATAGCAGTATGTGAAATTATATCTGTAGCAATATTTTAAACTCTACTTATATCATATCAGTTAATTAGTTACAAAAATACATTTAACTCTTCTCTGGTGCTGGCAGAAACAGTTCTTTCTGAAATGTTTTGGGACATTTGGATGTATCCCTTTTAGTATGATAATTAGCCTGTTATCATTAGCCAGACAGCATTGTGTGACTTGTTGAACTTGTATTCCTTTTGTTATGATAATAGGCTAAGCCAGGTAGTATTGTGTGACTCAAGTGTACAATGTAAATAGGATTCAGATGCTTGTTGCATCGGGACACCTGGAAGGGGGTGGTGCATGCATTCCTTTTAGTGTGATAATAGGCTAAGCCAGACAGAATGAACACTTGTTCCACCACCCTATCTATTCCTTCAGGTAATCTATTACAATATAATAAGCATATGTATTATTGATACATATATTTTAATTACTTTTTCCTTTTCAGAATGCCACCAACAAAGAGAGGTCCTCGATTCAGTGTGCAGGATGTGATTGCTGCCATCCAAAAAGGAGAAAGTGATTTTGAGATGGAATCAGAGGACAGTGACACTGCTATGAGTGAATAAGAGGCAGATGAAGATGCCTGTGGACAAGTGGACAAAGAAAACCAACAACCCAATGACCGCCCAGTCAGTGATTATGTGGACATCGAGCCCCAACCAAATAACCACACCAAGCCCCGTGACAGGTATCGCTGGCTGAAAAAAGATTTCATCCAACTGTAACCTTGAAGCCGAGAAGAGCTTGAAGAAAAAAGGGAGAAGCTTTGACATCAGAGTGGAGGCCAACCACAACATCTGTGCTGTCAAATGGTATGACAGCAGAGCGGTCACACTTGTGTCATCCTTTGCTGGACCAGACCCTGTGCAGAAAATTCAACGCTGGGACAAAGCCAACAAAACCTACGTAGAAGTTGAGAGGCCTTCCATTGTGGGTACTTACAACAAGTACATGAGAGGTGTGGATTTATTGGACTCGTTTACGACCAAATACAAGTTTCCCATGAAATCCCGACGCTGGTACGTGTACATCTTCTGGCACACCATCATCCTTGCTGTGATCAACGCCTGGCTCCTCTACAAGCGGGAGTGCAAAGCTCTAAAGATGGCAAAGCAGGAGATCCTGAACAGGAGACAGTTTCAGGCACATCTAGCATCTCTCTCTCATCCTGGTAAGAATGCATTTCTGCTATTTGCCGTTTGTAATATTTAAAAATATTTCACTGTAATGTTTTTTACTTGTATCCTAATGTATTTTTGACATGTATCTAAATTGATTCTGTTCTAATCAGGTGAACACAACTCCTCTGAAAACACCCAAGAGAAGACGACCATCTTCAGGCAACGGGAGTCCATCAAGCGGGGCCCCATCCAAGAGATACAACCTCCACTGGATGTACGCAAGGACCTAATGGCACATTTTCCAGTGAAGACACTGCAGTAAAGGCAGGGGCGGCGGGTACTGTAGGCTAGGGAAGGCTAAGCCTTCCCAAATATTTTTTTTGTCTCTGCATCCAGGTAAAAGTTTAAATATAATATTTGTGTCTTTGACATTAGCGCTGCTATGCAGCCACCTCACGGAGGGGAAGCGCCTGCGCAGGCATGTTTGTGTCAAGCGGCTTGTGATCGTGATGTGATCAAGCCCCTCTGTGGCCAATCACATCACGATCCGACAGCGAAGCCTCAAAAATAGATATACGGACATTTTTCAAGGCAAACATTAAAGGTCCCATGTCATGCTTTTCCGGTTATTACCCGTCCCCTTGTGTTATGTAGCTTTTTCTGCATGTAAACGGTGTGCAGAGTCACAAACCCTCAAAGTACACCCTGTAGCGAGTAAAACTCTAACACAGAAAAGACCTGTCTATGCTGCCCCAGAACGCCTCGTTGGAGATTTCTCTTTTTCCATTGTTTACTTCTTGGGTATAGTGACGTATTTCGGGTATAGTGACGTAACGTAACGGATTTGGACCAATCCGCGGAGCCGTTACGTTACGTCCGCGGAGCTGTCACGTTTGGCCCAATCCGTGGACTTCCTCACACACACATACTCGGCGGGACGTTGCGAGGCTCGCTGCTGCGAGGAGCGGGACACTGTGAGCTGGCTCACTGGTGTGGGGTCGGCGAGACAGCGAGACACCGCGGAACTCAGCCTGGGCGCACACACACAAACTCCCAGCCAGGCTGCGGATGTGTGTGTGCGCCCAGGCTGAGTTTCCGCAGACGGCCACTGGGCTCAGAGGGAGGGGGGGGCAGGAGCTCCAACAAGCCGTTTAGGACAGAGAGTACACACATACTATACAGAGATGCTGTATGAGAAACCAATGTGAGTTTGGAAA